CACCTCTCATGCTCTATTAAATCCGCTCCTGCTTGGCCTTTCCCAAACTGCTTCAATAAAAAGGCTCTTGTTAATGTCACCAGTGACTATGCTGCTAAATCCAATGATCAGTTCTCAGTCCTCATCTTACTTGACCTCTTGCGAGTATTTGACGTAGTTTCATAGTTTAACCTTCTCCTTAAGGTACTTTTACTTTTTCTTTTTTTTTTAACTTGTGTTCTTCCTCCTCCTCTGGCTCCTCTCTCGGGCTCCTTTGTGTGTTCTAAATCTTTTGCCAGACCTCTTAAGGTTAGAGCACCATAGGACCCAGTTCTTTGTTCTTTTTTCTGTTTGTACTCACTCCCTTGATGGTCTCATCTACTCTTTTGCTTAAAATTCCATTTATATATCAAAAGCTGTCATATTTATATATCCAGCCCAAGCTTCCCTCCTCAATCCAGATTGAAATATCCTGACCTAGTTTCATCACTAGCATGTCTCAAAACACATCTCAAACTGAGCACACTCAAAACTTAACTCCAGATCTGCCCCCCAAACCTTCTCTACCCCTCAGCCTTCCCCATATCATTTGATGGCAACACCATCCTTCCAGTTGCTCAGACCAGAATCCTTGGAGTTGTCTTTGACTCCCGCTCAAAGCACTCTCCAACTGTCAGGAAATCCTATCGGCTCAATCTTCAGGAGGCATCCAGAATCTAACCACCTCTGGGCCATGCACTGCTACGACCCTTTCTTGCTTGGATTATAGCAATAGCCCCAAATTGGTCACTCTGTTTCTACCTATTGTTAGCCTAAAGTCACAGCAATTAAAGTGATCTCTTTTTTTTTTGGAAATAATTTATATTTTTAGAGCAGTTCATAGCAAAATTGAGAGGAAGGTACAGAGATTTCCCCAGTGTCCCCTGCCCCCCCCCCCACATGCATGGCCTCCTCCGTTATCAACATCTCCACCAGAGTGGTGCATTTGTTGCAACTGAGGAACCTACCCTGACACATCTTAATCACCCAGAGCCCATAGTCTACACTAGGGTTTACTCTTGGTGTTGAACATTCTATGAGTTTAGACAAATGTATAATTACGTGTATTCAGAATTATAGTATCATATAGAGTACTTTCACTGCCCTAAAAATCCTCTGTGCTCTATTCACCCCTTCCCCTCCAACCCCTGGCAACCACTGATCTTTTTACTGTTTCCATAGTTTTGCCTATTATAGAATGTCATAGTAGTTGGAATCAAAACAGTGTATGGGGGCTTCCCTGGTGGCGCAGTGGTTGAGAGTAAGCCTGCCGATGCAGGGGACACGGGTTCGTGCCCCGGTCTGGGGAGATCCCGCATGCCGCGAAGCGGCTGGGCCCATGAGCCATGGCCGCTGAGCCTGCGCGTCCGGAGCCTGTGCTCCCGCAACGGGAGAGGCCACAACAGTGACAGGCCCGCGTACTGCAAAAACAAACAAACAAACAAAAAAAACAACAATGTATAGCCTTTTCAGATTGGCTTCTTCAGTTAGTAATATGCATTTTTTTCCTCTATGTCTTTTTATGGCTTCATAGCTCATTTCTTTTTAGTGCTGAGTAAAAGTCCATTCCCCAGATATACCACAGTTTATTTAACTATTCACCTGCTGAAGGACATCCTGGTTGCTTCCTAATTTTGGCAATTTTGAATAAGCTGCTATAAAAATCAGTGTGCAGGTCTTTGTATAGACACACATTTTCAGCTCTTTGGGATAGAACCAAGGAGCATGATTGCTGGATCATATGGTAAGAATATGTTCCGTTTTGTAAGAAACTTCCAGTGTCTTTAAAAAAAGTTTTAAATATGTCGTATCTCTCCTATGCTCAAAATCCTGCAATGAATCCCTTTTCATTCACAGTAAAAGTCAAAAGTCCAGATGGGTATACAAGACCCTAAATGATCTGCCCTCTCCATTCTCTCTGACATCATCAACTTCACTGCCCCCCTGGTTTATTCTTGCTGTTCCTTAAAGCAGATTCCTTAAATCAATGAGTATGCATTTATTTTATAATGGGAAAAAAGATATACTTTCTAAGTTGTCAGGGTAGTGACATTCCAACTAAGTTCTTTTTCTTCTCCAAATGTTTGAAAATGATAATGTATTACTTTTATAATAAAATATCTTGAAAGATTCAATTGAAAACAACAACAACACAAGATAGACCTTAGGGCCTTTGCACTAGCTTCTCTGTCTATAATACTCTCCCATAGACATCTGCTTGGATAACTCCCTTAGCTCCATCTCATCTATGATAAAACATTGCCTTCCCAATGAGGCCCCATCAGATATCAGCTCAGTGGTACACTTGGTGCTGCGTGAAGCCTCTGATGCCTCATGAGTGTGACTGTCACCTTGAACCTAGGACCATGCTGCTAGTAGAGCAGAGTAGGCATTATAGTTCTGATCCCCTTTAGTGTGATCTAATTTTTCTTTTTTCACAGCACACCTTTGACCTATATAATCTGGTTATTTATTATGTTTATTGTTTATGGTCTGCCTTCCCTCACTAGAAGCTAAGTTTATGATGGCAGGAATTTTTGCTTTTTTTTTTTTTTTTTTAATTAACTAATATGTGCCAGGCGGTGCTTAATAAATATTTGCTGAATGAATGAATGAGTGAACAAATGTTTGTGTAGTTTCTTCAGTGTCAGGCATAAGACGTGGCAAAGAGAAGTCAACAGAATTTCTGCCCTTATATTTCTTTTCTTTCGTCTAGTCTTATTGAGATATAATTGACATATACACTGTATAAGTTTAAGGTGTACAGCATAATTATTTGACTTGCATACATCATTCAGTGACTACCATATTAAGATTACCATATTAAGAACATCTGCCATCTCATATAGATACAAAATCTATATAAATCCAAAAGAAATAGAAATGTTTTTCCTTGTGATGAGAACTCTTAGGATATACTCTTTTAACTTTCTTACATAACGTACAGCAGTGTGAATTATATTGATCATGTTGTACATTACGTCCCTAATACTTATTTATCTTATGACTGGAAGTTTGTACCTTTTGACCACCTTCCTCCAGTTCCCCCTCCCCCACCCCATGCCTTTATATTTCTTAGAGCCTAGAATATGAATATGGTTATTAGTGAGATTGGCCATTTACAGAGGTCCTTAGGGAGGATTCCAAAATCATATCATGGAAGAGGATCTTGGAGAAATATATTTCAAGGGAGGGTTAGGTCTTAGCAATGACAGTATGAAAGAAAGCTTGAGTTTAAGCAATTATACTTACATACATGAAGGGATATTAGAGGATATTTTATGTGTTGGGATAGTCCAAAAAGAAGAATCCCCCAAACAAATCATTTACACAATTCAGTCTTCATTTTGGTCCAAGGGAGATGATGCTATGAAGAGTGGGACCCCACCATGCTCAAAGTAGCCTTAAACAAAATTAAGCAGGATTACTGCTAAAATACATAGATTACAGTGGTAAAACAATAAAAGGGTTTTAGTTTTGTTTCAAAGCCACTATTATCTATGTAGGTAGCATTGTAGTCTTAGAAATTTTAGTAAATGATAATTATAATTTGGTCCAGTGTAATATCTATTTAGCTTTCAGATATTAATTGAAAATAATAATCCAGTTTCATATAATACATGGCTGGTTACATAATAAGTAGGAAAGATTTCTAGCCATGTGCAGATGGGCCTTTGTGTAATTTTAAGATGCCATAGATGAATGTTAACTCTTAAAAGAACTCTCATATTTTAAAATATCTTCACATCTCCATGTTTTGCTCATGCTGTTTATTTTTCCTGGAATACTTGTCCCTTCCTTGTCAACTATTGCAAACTCTTCTTTTGTCCTCTAAAATCCAGCCAGAGTCACATTTTCTCTCTGGCTTTTCTTGGCATTGTCTTTCTGCCACGAGTTCTCTCCCTTAAGGTCAACTGATTAAGTTTTTCCTCCTCTGAGTTCCCAAAGCATTTATCACTGGGGTGTGGGTGTCACTTACTTACCTGCATCTGCATTTCAAGGGTGTCTTATCACCTTTGTTTCTCTAGTGACTGGCTCAGTCCCTGTCTCATAATACAGGCTCAATAAACCGGTATCAAATTTGAAGCATTACACTCTTTTTTTTTTTTTTTTACCTTGGTCACTGATTCATCCAGCAAATATTTATTAAGAGTTTTTTATATTCAAGGTTCTGCTATGTGTTGTAAAGATACTGAAGAAAAAAAATAGATGCCCAGATTTTTAAAAACATAAAATATAGTGTAATAAGAAAAAATAAGCCATGCACAAAGGTAACTATTTTGCATATTTGGAAGAGTTATTTTCAAAGAGAGGTGTCTTGGGGGGCGTGTGAGTGTGGGTTCATGCTAGGATTCAAGAATGTCTTCCCATTGACTAGAAAATATTTTTCCTTATTAAATGGCTAAAAAGCTGTGATTCAAAACAATGATTCTTTTGATGTCTCACAAATTAGGTTAAATTCTGTCCTATATCTAAATCTCTGTCTCTCCCCCTTACTTTAACTGGGTGTACTATTAGATTATCGGATTAAAGCACTGCTCAGGGTTTTGCTGCTACTTGCCAAACAGTCTACATTTAAAGTAGAGAAAGTTTCTTTTGGTGCCTTCAGGTATGAATTTTATGCATTCCCTAGTTTTTAGAAAACACCTTAAGTGATAAATCCTTCACATGTTGATACAAGTTCATTCCTAATTGCCATTGGGGAATTGCCCGTAGAAAGCTTTTGACAAAAGTTAACAATACTGTCATTGAAATGAAAAATCCAAACCATATTTTAACAGAAATTTTTAAAAAATTTGGTCAGCATAGTTTGAATGCTCAGCATCTAATTGCATCTAATTGTATTTAAGCCAGTAGTGTTAAAAAAAAAAAAAAGGTAGATTCCCTTTTCCACATTAAGGCAGAAGATGTTAATTGTTAATAGTTTTAGTGACTACGGATTTTCACTGATGATCACCAGCATTTTTTCTGTTTTCATTTAGACTTGGATTATCACTTGCATTTATCTTCAACTGCTCCTATTTAATCCTCTCGTCAAAACTCAAGGGATCTGCAGGAACCGTGTGACTGATGATGTGAAAGACGTTACAAAATTGGTAAGTAAGGAATGCTTTCAATTGCTGTGACTCTTTTTCTTGTACTTTTGGAAAAATATTTCCTTTTTCCTTGCCCCAAATTAGTATTTTTCGAAGACCAGGAGAGAAGTCACTGAGTTATTCTAAAGAGTTTGTAGAGAGCAGCTAGGGAGATATTTAAGGTCATGGAGCATCTTGTTGGTAAAGTTGGCCTGTTGCACCCCACGGAAGTGGCTTTGTTTCTTTGCTGGTCTTTTCATCTCCTTCACAGGCAGTGAAGGATACTGGCGAGTTCTCTGTGTGCTGATGTGCCAGCACTAGCTTGTTCCCCATTATCTCTTAAAAGTGTTTTATTTCCCTTCCACATGCCTTCCTACTCTTCTCTAACGAGCCTAACAAAAGATCTGAGATGGTCTTTCTCCCCTTTCCAACAGCTTGAAGACCCTGTCACATGCGGGTGGGTGTTTGCTCCCTCAGTAAACACAGTTGGAGTCATTTGTTGCCCAAATGTTGACCAGATTCATCTTCCACATCCATCACATTGGAACTCTTCCCTCAGGAAAAGCCGTTTTACACTGGTGCCCCTTGGTCACTGCCGGCTTCGTGCCATGCTTCTCTTAAGATGCAAACCACAGAGATGGAGAGCATGACACAGCATCTGAAATGCCTTCCTCCCAACTGTCACGATCTAGCGGTGATTGTACATGCTCACTTGAGCTACAGTGTGTGCTTTCAGGATGAACAAAGTTTGAGAAGCAGTTTTCTAAGTTCCTGGTTCAAAAGAGCCAAATGGCACTCAGTTATTTGAGTATTGTCTAGGGAACAGACGTGATGTGAGAATAGGAAAGAAATGAGGATTGTAGTATGTAGAAAGAAAGAAAAGTATATTTTTTGAGATATTTATCTTCCCTATTTTGATATGCATTTCTTGGTTTATATGTTTTATTTTGGGTTCATAGCCAAACTCCAAAACAGAAGTTTAATGTTACGATCAGAGTCTTGCTGGCTTAGTCTCAATGCAGAATTAAAAATACACACACACACACACACACACACACACACACACACACACACACACACACACACACACACACCCCATGCAGATTTCTTTAGATACTTACAAAGTCCACGTTTAAAAAAATTCTCTGGTGCAGTGCCTGAAGATATATCACCATGTTTTATTTGAGGAGATGGTGACCAAAGCAATGCAATATTTGCCTACTATATGCCCAGCTAGGTATAAGGATGGGGGTGGGGTGATGAAGAACTTTTTTTAAAACATGTATCATGATCCTTTCCCTCAAGCTGCACATTAGTTTGTGAACCAAGAAACTATATTAAAAAGAAAAGGTTTATATTCGAAATTTGGTATCAATAGAAGGCGCTCATGAAATGTTTGTTCAATGAAGTAAGGATGTGTACCACTGTGCAGCATCATAATCACCTGTGGCACTTACGAAAATCATAGGTGTCTGGGCCCCACTGATTCAGCAGGTCTGAAGGCATCTACATTTAAAGACATTCCTTAAAGGAGGTTTAAGAACCAGTGCTCTACATGGTCTATTCTGTCACAGTTTAGAGACCAAAGTGTTGTGACCTTGATTTAATCTCATTTCTTATTATGAGTAGTTTTATCTATGTTGTATGGATTTATATAAATGTTAGATTAATACGAGTCTCCAAAATATGCTTAAAGTAGGCCACAACTGGGAAATTACAGCTCTCATGGGGCTGCTGGTAGAACCATGGAGCTAAGATGAGCAGGGGAGGTCTGAAGTGGTCCTAGGTGTCCAGTTTCAAATATGTGGGCAAGGAGTCATAGATGGAAGGTGATGGTGTATCTGACCACACGCTGAGCATGTCCAAAATTAAAATGGTATTTAAGAAAAATTACTTATAGTCATTATTTTTTGCTGTGTGAGGAACACTACTTAATGAGCACCACTTCCTGTGAAATGTCAAACCGATATTTTCAAGTAGGTATTATAACCACCTTCCAAGATTTTCCACTCTTGTCTTTGACCATCTGCTTATTTTCAGCCTGTTACCTATCAGTTGATACAGTGAAAAATGGCAGGAAGCATGGAGAAAGAAGTGCCTGGAAAGAGATACTTATTAACACTAAAATATAATTCCTTCCCCCAAGGGCAAATGTAAAAAATCATTAAACTGAAAAAAGTCTTTCTGTCACCCCTCGAGCACCTGACTCAGAGGGGAACTTTTTAATTTCAAGAGCTGATCTAAATGAAATTAGTGTGCTTACTTTGGATTATCGGGGGGAAAAATCAAGTTAGTAACGAAAAAGGACTTAGAAGGTCACTTCTAACTGAATAAAGACCTACTTAATGCCCAGCCAATATTTCATAGAGTAAGACATTGAAAGATATAAAATAATCCCTGGTCTCAGAGTGTTTATAATCTAGTTTGGGAGCTAACCCATCTCTATGAATATATGAGTGCATATCACTCAGTCTGCAATAACCACACGTAAATGGATACCATTTGAAAGATTTTCTGGTATAGCGTGGGAAACAACCTATGCTAATTTATTGGTTCAAAGAATGGATTTTAGAATCTGGCACACCTGCTCTTTGACCTTAGATAAGTAACTACGTTTCTAAATCTCAGTTCTTACTTACCATTTTGTAGTATAGATTAAATAAGAGAATGTATATATAAATTTTTTACCACAGTTATTATCACATAACCTCTCTGTGCCTCAGTTTCCTCATCAGTGTAATAGATTAACAGTACAATTGACCTTTGAACAACACAGGGGTTAGCAGTGGAACATCCATCTCACAGCTTGTAGTTGGCCCTCTGTATACAAGCTTCCTCCCTAGCTGTGGTTCTGCATCTGCAGATTCAACCGACCATGGATCATATAGTACTGCCGTACTTAACTGTTAAAAAAAAAAAAAAATGGGTATGAGTAGACCCATGTAGTTCAAACCCATGTTGTTCAAGGGTCAACTGTACTTAACCTCATAGAGTAACTTTAAAGATTAAATAAGTGAATAGAACAGTGCTAGGAACATAGCAAGTGCCTGCTAAATACTGTCTGTCAGTAATGGTAGTAGTGGCATTTGTGGGGTCATAGGATACTGGAGTCGGAAGGGAATTTAGAAACAATCTAGACAAAGTACTTCCAAAATAGGAAAACTGAGACCCAAAAGTGGTGAAGCCCAGCTCCTGGTCCCATTACCTGTGCTGTATCTTCTGGGACAGTGGTTTTCAAACTGGCTTCAAGAGTCCACCTAGCCTCTCTGCTTTTATTATTTATGTGTCTGGGTTTCTAAATAAGACTTGGCTTGGAAAAACAATTGAGCTTATGAAAAAATGTTTGCAAGCCACTGCTTTAAATCAGCATTTGTGGGATATCATTTGAGAGCCATCCAGTCACAATCTCTTAGGGTACGTGTTAAAAGATAGCTATCAGGGCCCTGCCTCAGAAATACGGAATCACAGCTTGTGGAGATGAGATGTAGGAACGTTAATGTTTCTGACTAATATGCCAGGTGATAGTTATTTGCATAGAAGTGGCAGGACCGCTTAGGCCATAATACTTACAATATTGGGTTGTTTCCATGTCTGAAAAGAAGCTGTGTTCCCATCCTTAGCCTAAAACTCATAATTTCACTAATTCAAGCAACAACATGAGTGACTTTTGAGTTTTATGGATATAGATAATCACAGCCTCTCTCTAGAGAACAGTGGGGCAAAAAAGCGTCTTCAAGTAGGTCAGGCTTACCGGGGTGTTTGAATACCAGCTCTGCTATTACCCAGCTGTGTGACCTTGGACAAATAAGTCCCTAGACCTTTCTGGGATTCAACTTCTGGTTTTGAAAATGAGGAACTAGGACATGATCAATACTTAGTTCTTAATCTAGGATTCATAAACTTTGAAATTCTTGCAAATGGAACTCTAAATTATGCCTACGTGTGCCTTATGTGTGTTTCTAAGAAGAGCATGTATAACTTTCATCTGCTTCCCAGAGACGTCTGTGACATCCAAAAAGATAAGAACTACTAAATCCGATAACTTGGGAGACGCTTTTTAGCTCTGAGATTCTTTTATTCCATGGAGATACTTTTTTTAGCTTGTACCTTTTGGAAAGATTCAGTTATGCCTTGACAAAAGGAGGTTATATCGAACAAGAGGATCTGGTTTCTTTGCAGACATAACTTTGGTACATTTTATTTGAGAAAAAGAAAGTGGGTTGAGAGTACCTTTTTGCCTTGCTTTTCATAGTAATTTCTTCAGCTGAAATCATTCCTTTGCCCATTCTGCCAGTTCCTCCTTTGCTTTAGGTGGCACCTTGCACTGTGCCCACAAACATTAAGTTTGTTTGCTTGGGGGTGATTCTCATGTCACAGAAGCACACGATTTATGACTTTACTGTCATTTTCTTTTAAATTTCTTATTGGACACTTTTTACTGCCCCTGCAATCCCCATGGTTTTCATTTGAAATCCTTCTGGCATGTTTACTCAGCATAATAGTTCATCTATTTACAGAACATTTTGCTTTGTTTCCAAAAAATGTTGCAGGACTTGTTTTAAATGGCAAACTCAGACCTACCTAAAGAAAGGGTCAAGTATCTGGGAAGGGGATGAATGAAACTTTAAAAACTTGTGTCTATGGGATGGTTCAGCTGTAGCTTTTAATGATTGTTAAGTGTTAATATAAGGAGGAATCCAAATATTGAAATAGTTCAAATTAATTTTTCCTTTTGTTCTTCCTGCTGTTCCTTTCATTTGTGATATTTTTTCCTTCATTTGGGGGAATTTAATTGAATATGACTTTGTTGCTTTTTAAAAAACCTTTTTATCTTTAACTATCTGTTGAGTAATTATTTGTCTTCCTCAAAATGTTTAAGGCAGGTTGCTGTCCCAGCCCCATCTTGTAAAGGTGAAATTACTCTGTCTTTTCAAGGTCAGTCTACAAATCAGTAGAGTAGAATTAAAAGTCAAGAATTCGTGGTTTTCCCGGTCTTGAAGTAGGCACTTATTTTAAGTAGA